TTAGTATTTCTTGAATCTGTTGCTTTACTTCCTTCTTTGCTCTTTTCTTTCTTTTGCTTTCGTGGGGTCTCGAACTCCCAGCTCCCTCCCGCACCCTTTTATACTAGTGTTGTATGTATCCTAGTGCTTCTGCCGCCCGGGGGAAAGAAAGGACCTTTAACTAAAACTATGTAACTACTACTGCGACTCTTGCTGCTGCCGCTGTACAAACGAATGTTTCTCCACGAATACACACAAATAGGAATGTACGCTACTTATTTGTACATGAAACGACCCCGTCTGGACCAAACCAAGTACTCTCAAATCTACGAAGGACAAAACCCGCACCTTTCTAAGCTTCGGCCACCCAAGGCCACCATGGAAGACGACATTCAAGTGGATCAGAACTTCCCCTTGTTTTCTCGCCGTGGTAAAACCAACAAAGCTACTCCCTCCCAAATTAACCCCGCCCCACCTGTTACCCCCGCCGCCTCCACCACCACCCTGCAAGACCTCAAACCCCTCCTGCAGAAGGAAACCGATTCCGACGACCCTATTCCCACTACTCCCAACCACATCTCCTTCTCCGACTTGGGCCTGGCTGAATGGGCCGTCCAGACCTGCAAAGAACTCGGAATCAAGAGACCCACTCCGGTACAGCGCCACTGTATCCCTCGAATCCTCGCCGGCCAGGACGTCTTGGGCCTGGCCCAAACCGGCAGCGGCAAGACGCGCCGCTTTTGCGCTCCCCATACTCCACCGCCTGGCTGAGGACCCTTACGGGGTGTTCGCTCTGGTGATTACTCCCACCCGGGAACTGGCTTACCAGCTGGCGGAGCAGTTCCGAGCACTGGGGTCGGGCTTGCACCTGCGCTGCGCCGTGGTTGTAGGTGGGATGGATATGATCAACCAAGCCCAGACGCTGATGCAGCGGCCCCACGTGGTTATAGCAACTCCCGGAAGGATTAAGGTTCTCATTCAGGAGAATCCTGATGACGTCCCTGCTGTTTTTTCCAATACCAAGGTTGGTCAGTCATTCTTAATTTAATTTTAATGCCCGTTTTCTTTTTCCATATTCAAATTTTTGGGAAGCATTATCTATCTATGAAAAAGGAGAAGACGAGCAAAAACAAAAAGTTATACACTATCCAAGGTTATTGTAGTTGTATGTAGAGCACCTGATTACAGTTCATAGTGTAAATGTAACCCTATAAAGCTATTATACAGTTATTATACACTAGGTGTTGTATAATTTTAAGGTCCATACTGTTGGTGTAATTCTCAACTGTTAGTAAAACCAAAATCCTATCTTTTCCATGACCACTCGGACGGAGTGCTAAGTGCAGCAACCTTGGTTGAAACATCCGAACACTGGAAAACTGACATGATTGAGATATTTTTATGTTTTGATTTTGCATCAGAGATATATCTCTAAAGATTAAATTTTGTCCATAAACTCAACAGCTGGGATTCTTTTGTAAAGTGTTTCTGCCAATAATCAGCTGAATTGGCACATGGCTTCAAATGGTTAGGACAAACCTATGGTGCATTTTCGTTTGTGGTATTCTACCTGCTTCTTAACGTCTTTTTAATTGGAGGACTTTACACCATCCCCAACTGTCTGAGGCCCTCCATCTTTTTGCCAGACTGTCGTAATATTAGCAAGTGCTCACACTAAAATTAAAACAAAAAAAAAATGATTTTCTTTAATCCCTAATCTGTGGAATATTTTATCTTGCTTTCATTCTGCTGTAGTTCTTAGTTTTAGATGAAGCGGACAGAGTGCTTGATGTGGGCTTCGAGGAGGAACTCAGAGTAGTCTTCCAGTGCTTGCCAAAGGATCGGCAAACTCTGCTTTTCTCTGCTACCATGACCAGTGATCTACAAACACTAATGGAGCTTTCTGCAAATAAGGCATACTTTTACGAGGCATATGAAGGATTCAAGACAGTGGAGACTCTTAAACAGCAATACGTTTTTATCCCAAAAAATGTGAAGGATGTTTATCTCCTATACATTCTATCCAAATTGGAAGATATGGGTGTTCGCTCAGCCATCATTTTTGTTTCCACCTGCAGGTGGGTGTGTGGAAGTGTGTGTGTGTCAAATGAAATATTACTGCTGTTATTGCTAATTGTGTGGTACATTTGTTGGCACAAGTCTTCTGTCTACCTGCATCCTCCATTGTACTGATGCTTATGCATAATGCTAAATTAATGTTTGTCTTACGTTTTGTACCTTGTGAGCAACAACTATATCAGACCTGCCCTTTGGATACAGTTAACAAGTTTGAACTGCTTATACATTGGCGCACATATATTGCATTAGTGAAATGTTTGTTAAGCCTGCCAAATAATAGCTGTTGCATATTTGCATGGAATTGGTGCTTCTACAAATTTCATGATGCTAGTGGAAGCATCTGGGTGAACTGTCCTTATATTCTACAGGCTGGTTGTGGTTGTTTATACTAGTAGATGGCGTCCTTTATGTGATAAATACATACTTTATACCAGGTCTCCTAGAGTCTGCAAAATTGGTTTATAGGGGTGACAAAGCTTCTGTTTGTTTTCTTAGTTTACGTTTAATGTCATTTTCTTACATTAATCAGAAGGATGTTAGAATTTCTCTTGATTTGTATTCTGCATCTGTGTGTGTTTGTCTACTGTAACTGAGCAGGAGTTGTCAGCTTCTAAGTTTGTTGTTGGAAGAACTTGATGTTGAAGCTGCTGCATTGCATTCCTTCAAATCCCAGTCTTTGAGGCTTTCTGCAGTACATAGATTCAAATCTGGGCAGGTTCCTATATTGCTAGCAACAGATGTTGCAAGTCGGGGTTTAGATATCCCAACCGTTGATCTTGTCATAAATTATGACATCCCAAGGTGACAATCCTGGTGAAACTTTACTGATCATTTATCTTTCTGAAGCTTTTGATTCATATAGTGCTAAACCTTTTCAGGTTTCCACGCGATTATGTTCATCGTGTAGGGCGCACTGCAAGAGCAGGGAGAGGGGGGCTTGCTGTTAGTTTTATTACCCAGGTAAGAAGTCAGATGGGGTTTTTATGTTATCTGGAAACTTTCTCCTAAGAAAAATCAACATTTCCTGATGTAAATATCTGCAGCAGACAAAGTGGGAAATGGGAAGAGATATGGCCTCGATGGCTGTCTTGTGAAATTGGAGAAGTTTAATACCTCTGAATATGTTAACAGATTGCAGATTGAATCTTGTAGCACAGATGTATTGGAAAATTGGTTGATCCCATCTTCTCTTAAATGACATGGGCATTTCTAGTGTCATGGCGTCGTAGGTTTGGGAAGCTGGGGTGGAGATTATTACAATTTCGAATTATGAGACAGTAAACGCTCAAATTGAACTTAGATATGGCTTTTATAGTCCTCGTTTATTATGAATTGAACTGGAACATAGCACTATGACTTGAGCTAATCTTTTTCTGTCTATTGTTTAATGTGATTTTTCTCAACCTCATGTGTGTCTGTGAGACAGCATGTGCAATCAAACACAAAAAGTAGCACCTCTAAGTGTGAATATAAGCTAGATAACTATGCCTCAGTATTCTCCCACTCCCTAGCTTGTTTTTTGCCGCAGTTTTCATGGATTGCTTGATGATCTATTTTTGCAGAATGATGTTGATCTTATTCACGAAATTGAAGCTGAACTTGGAAAACAGTTGGAGGAATTTGAGTGTAAGGAAAAGGATGTTCTTGCTGAAATTACAAAGGTAGAACCATTTTACTGTAAACCTTACTGATTATGTCAGCAAGTTTCCTTTGAATCTTAATTTTTAACTCACCAGAATTGCTTCTTGATACTCATAAATTTCAAGCTCTTGATCTGCGATACAAGTGATCTCCTCTGCCTTTATTCCAGCCCACCCCCCCAAAAAAAATCCTTTTTTGTTCCTTCTCTGTTTTCTAGATGGTCATAAGGAGGAATTTTGGCCCTTTTTCTTTTAACGAAACTGGTTGCAGGGTCCTAAGAGCTGGTTCAAGTGGTAGGGACATTGACTAGATAGTATTTGAGGTCATTTGTTCGAGTCTTAAGCCCTTCCTTTAGCTCTTCCCTTTGAAAGTTTCGAGTCTCCCTTGAAATAAAAAATCTGAAGATAAGGAAACCCAGAAAGCTCTTCTATTTGATTTGCTTGAAGTACAAGCTTTTATATAATGTTTAGTGTTGTATTATCCAAATTGAATGTATACCATCAGATATTTTAATCACTTGCTGCATGTAATATTTTCTGGAAGTTTTGCGAAAGGTATGCTCTTGATATCATCAACATCCTTCGTTGCACAGGTTTACAAGGCCAAACGGGTGGCAACCATGAAGATGATGGATGAAGGATTTGAGGAGAAAGCAAAAGCACGGAAAGCTCAGAAGTTGAAGGCACTAGCAGAGAAAGGACTATTGAAAAGTAGTAAAAAGCGAAAAAGGAAAAAGGGGGTATCTGATCAATTGGTGAAAGTTAAGAAAGCTTACTTTCACCATCTTCCCTAATTTTATACGTGCTCAGACATAATTAAGTCTATTAAGAGCTATCTTTTGCGCAGCCTTGTTTGGATTGTGATTTTCAGAGAAAAATTTTTACGTTTTTCGTGAACACATTTTTAATCATCTTTTTTATCTCGTGTACATCAAATTACTACAATACATGTTTTTAACAAAAGCTTCTAAAATTAGCAATCCAAACATGTTGCTGGGTTGTAAGTTTATCGACAGAAAAAGGAAAATCAGAGAAAAGATGATGAAGAACCCTTTTTTAGCTGGGAGATCAGAAAAATCTTTGTTTTACTGAAGGGTTCCATGTAATGCATGACATCTGCGCGAACTGTTCGAATTACTTTTCCACTGGCTTTGTTGTTTATAACCAAGGAGGCCTCACAACTGTGGTGCTATTCTTTTCTTTGGATATCCCAAGTAGTTTTCCAGATTTTGATAACATCATAATAATAGATTGAGATGATGAGTAAGGAAGCAGTTGCTCATAAAGGCTAAAGATTGCGTAGAGAAATAGAGTGACCATGCAAAGTACGCGTGGAGGACTAAATGAGCACCTAATCCGTCTATGATGAAACTGCGATGCAAGTTAGTGGGTAATGGAAACAAACTGACACGAAGGTTAGTGGGTAATGCTGAAAAACACCCAAATCATAAGGCTCCAGACGTAGTGCTGGGCTCAACTTCAGCATCTACACAAAGTGAAGTAAATAGCATCTCCTCTTAACCCCGGATTGTAATCCTTAGCCATTCATTAGTACCCAAGAACAATGAGCGACCCCCTAAGCTCGTCACTATCCATCCACTTGCTCGCATCAAAGCACTTTGTCAACCTGTAGCCATGTTTCTCTGGCAAATCAGCTTTGAAAGTTTCTAAGTACCTTAAGACAAGCAGCAACTCACCTGCGAGATACTTCTTCCGACATAGTTTGTGCCCACTTTTAACACAGCACCTTTGTTAAAACGAACACAAACGTGTTGATGAGAGGGATACTCTGACTTTACAAGAGTCATCTTGGGCGCCTGAGATCGCAAGCCTCAAAATGATCACTCTGCACAAAGCATAAACTGCTAGTAAAGATCAAAGACCGCTGTGTGCCATTCATTTGTGCAAGAAACAGACCAGTTCACCAAAGCCCCGTGCCAACGAGCATTAAATCTGATTTGAGTTCATCTTCACTGTCAAAGATCTCAACCATTGATGACTCAATTATATGTGTAACTAATATTCATGACCCAATTATGGCAGCTTAGCTCCATATATGCACACATATATAAAGACAAAAAATATAAGACCCCTTCCTACAATAGCACAGCACTTGCGAAAGTATCAAGTCTTGTATTCCCAGCTCCCCAAACAGTCTTTAAAAAAAAAGGCATGTATACTATTTCCTGGACATTTGCTTCCATTCAGAATTCATGGTGCATTTACTTACCGGAAACAATTGAGAGAACAAATTGTCAAATGAATCTGTGAAAGGAATTTTTATACCTAGTCTAAAGGAATTTTTATATCTAATCTACTTTTCCTCTTATCTTTCACTTATTCTTTTGGTTTTACGGGGTTGGACAGGGGTAGGGGGAGGGGTTTTCAACTCGCTAGTCACTACCCAGGGTTGTGAGCATATTTTCTGTCCTTTGAAACAATTATAGAAAAGGTTTCAGCCCGTTAGTTAGATGCCCTATTAACAGGTGTCCTCGCCTGGGCAGCAGCTGACATTCCACGTAATCGACCAGCAATTTCAGTGAAAGACGGCCTCACAACAGGATTGGGGGCCCAACATTGCTCCATTAAATTTCTCCATTCAGGATCACAGAAGCTTGGAATGGATGGCCTTAATGTGTTGTTTACAATACCTCCTATAGACCAAGGGGGGAAAACCAGAACTTTTTTAGTTGAATTAAAATTCAAAGCTGGATCCCAAAAATGCTAAATCGATCACAAGTAAATCTCAACCAAAAGATAACATGCAAGGAAGCTAGCATCAAAACTTCGATCAGTTACTACACATTCACATCTCTACGCAGCAGCCACATGAGAAGTGCTAAACATATATATATTACTTGTACGAGAAAAACACAGTGAAATTGATTACTACTAAACAAAGCATTCCACATAAAGCAGTCTATCACAGAATACAGTTGATGAAGCACCAAAATAAATTGATTTTGAGAAGAAGGATTTCCAAAATCAGTTTGAGCATTAATGGCCCGAATCCTTTCTGCAAATTGATTTAACATATATGCAATTCAGAGACCGACCAATTTAGAGTGACATTCTGAGATTCTGTCTGGATATACTTCTTTCACAGAGAATCTATCCTCTAGACTCTGCAGTGGGCTAAGAATGGGCCCTGTACCCCCCCCCCCCCAATTCTTTTTGGGGAATCAAGCAGTCCCCTTCTCTCATACAAAATGCAGGTTTTCTTGTCTGATGAAAATGATTGAGAGATATAGAACAAGCATATTTTAAGTACTTCACATGTCCATGCAAGTCACTTGGCATGTCCATTGCAATCATACTCGGAAGCATTTCATGGAAACCCAAATTTTCATTAGCATAATGCTAAAAGATTCACATAGTAGCAAAGCATGGTACAGGTCTTTGATGTTCATCTAATGTTACACTACAAGTAAACATTATGCTCCAGATTCTGCTGATGCGTATTTTCAAATAGTGAACTAAAAGTGACACCAATAAGATGATCACATCAAGAAATTCGTAAAATGTCAGCTATATCAAAGGGAAAAAGCCCACCTATAATTGCTCCATAATGCATGTTGGCGTAAGGCTCCTCACCAGTCAGAATCTCCCACAGAACAATACCAAACGAGAAAACATCAACCTGTTGAACAAACATCCATGATATGAGGTTACAAACAAGTTGACTAGACACACAGAAACCAACTAAAACAATACAAAAGTTCAACTCGATATCAGTCTATCACATCCAGCAAGCTCTTTGTTTCCTCATCTTTTTATGCTTCCTTTTTGAGTTATATACTTGTGCAGCATGTAAAAAGGTGCAAACAGGAGGTCTGCATGCTGATATGACCGTCGATCTAGATGTCATCAAAAGAGGCTTCCCTCAAACCCTTCTACCACAATTTCTTCATAGGAATTTACATGGTGGCAACTCACCTTTTCAGAAACCTTATTGCTGCTACCATTCAGAAGCTCTGGAGCCATCCAAGGAAGTGATCCCCGAACTCCACCAGAAACCAAAGTGTTCCTCTTTATTTTTGAAAGACCAAAATCACCAACCTGATTCATAGCACTATACAATTTCACTTGCTTGACATCGAACTATGATTGAAAAGTCTAGTGGATGCCTACCAGGGTACCATCAGAAGAATCATTGTATTCATTAGCAACATGTAAAACAAACCTAAAATGAGTACCTTGCATATAGGTTGTGAAGAATCTTTTAAATTGACCAGTAAATTATCGCATTTCAAATCAAAATGCACAATGTTCTTTGAATGCAAATATTCCATTCCAAAGGCTGCATCCATGGCAATAATAAGCCGCTTCCGACGATCAAGATGCCTGCAAAGTTAGATATAACACAACAAAGAAGAAAACTATGAGCAGCTAGAGAAACGGTGGGCATGAAGAGTGAGATTGGTTGACAGCAGAATACTGTCGGTGAAATTCGCAAAAGACTCAAGTTTTAGGGACTGCTCCACTTCGTTATACTCAAAAAGACGAAGAAAGAACTTTAGGACCAAACCTTACGATAATAGAGAAGGCAGAGCCTTTACCTATCGTTTTGCAGTAAAACATGCCTTAAAGAACCATCAACCATATATTCTGCTACCGTAGCAAGTATCCCTCCAGGCCCATCTTGCACCACACCATAAAAGGCCACCACATTTGGGTGGTGAAGCTTTGACAGAATTTCAGCTTCTCGCCAAAACTCTATGGTCTGCAAATATAAATACATACATATATGTATATATAGTAACTATAAAACAGTATACACAACAAGAGAAGAAGCATAACATGAGAGCACAACTAAGAGTGTGAATGCCTGTGTGCGGTATGCCTACATATCAAATTATCAAACAGTGATAATAAATAGCATATTCCACCGTCAAATGAGTCTCTTCAGCTAAAAAACTATGGTTCATAAGAACAGAAATTTATTGCCGGGAAGACATCATCAAAATAGTAAGAGACTACAAATGAGCTATCATTACCAATCTTTCCTGCTCTGAAGATCGACCAATGAAACAACTCTTCTTTATCCTTTTGATTGCAACATCTGTTCCTCTCCATTTCCCATGATAGACTGTTCCAAATGTGCCAGAACCAAGTTCCCTTAGTTCCTCAAGATCTTTGTTATTTATGAAAAAAAAAAAGGATGCACGACACAAAAGTTTCTCTCCTCTCTTTTTTTTTTTATTTTTTTCAGAATATAAATAATTTTAAAGGTGTTTGTTGTTGAAGCTTATTAAAATAGGTGGTGCCTCGTTTGTTCTCTCTCTTAAAATGATTGGGGTAGGGGTAGGGGTAGGATAATGTGGAGAGAAAATGGTACGATGTGCACTAAAGAGAAAGGAGTAAATACACACTTACTTACTTGCTGCCCGGCCTGCTCTCTCTCTCTCTCTCACACACACACACACACGCACCACCGGCCGGCCCTAAGCTGCTGCTGCTGCTGCTTCTATTACTTCTACCGCACGGCCCCTCCACATCCCCTCTAGGGTAGGGTTTAGACATGCATGCCCCTATATCACTACCACATACCTACCTATAGGTTATATGCCCAGAGCCAATTCATTTTGCAGCATACGTGATGTAGTAGTAGTAGTAGTAGTACTGGTTACTGCAGCATAATAGTAGTGGTGGCATATTTATGGTATTTCGTACCACTCTTTTCTTGCATGTATCAGCATTATATATTTATACATGGATGAAATCAGCAGCAAATCATTCTTGTACAGACCTAATAGATCCTTTACCCTCCTCCTCCTCCTCCTGCATCCTTTTCATTACTTTCTCTTCTTCTGGTAGTAACATTTCAAACCACAGACACAGAATCAGAGTAACATTATTGTCTGATCCCTAACAGTTTACACTTTACACCACCAACTGTGATCATCATTCATAGCCTAGGTGCGGTAATATGCGTCCTGATCATCGAACCGTGTATTTCATTGAGAGGCAGAAAAGCATTTAATTTCAATGATTGTTGCATGAAACTTCTTCATTAATTTGTGATTTCAATGAAGCAACAAAAAAAAAAAATTTTTTTTTTTTTCCAGTTCCATTAGAGTCACTCAAGCGTAGCACAGGAGCTATGTATATAATAGCCCACAACACAAGAAGAATTATAGTATGAGACAGGAGGACAGGACCGCTCATCATCTGAATCTTGGAAGCATCGGTTCAATTTCGAATGCTGCTGGGCCCGAAGGTCCTAATGTTGGTCGTGGCCTTTTGTCCATTTGATGCCCCCCTCATCCGCCATCATTAATCTTATCAACTATTTCTACTGTGGGAATGAATAAGACGCAGTACTGTAGCATTTGTTTATATGACTGTTGGATATATTCTTTCAATTATAGGAGTGAGATGCTTTTTGCTGCGCCCCTCCCCCCGAGTCCCGACCTTAGGATTTTGAAGCTATTAGTAGCAGCAGTATATATATATACACACACATATATATATTACGTACTTTTTGTTTCTTTTTCACGCAATTTACTTACAGTACGTACTACTACCATCTTGTAGTGTCTTCTGGTGGTGCAAACTACTGTAATAAGCCATTAATTAACGTGCAACAAAATACATCAACTCCTAGATACCTTCTCTTTGATTTGAGGGACTGTAACTGTAAGGCATGATCTCACTTAGCATGGTCGGTTCTACGATTGATAATTAGTGCATACACAGACAATAATAACATGTGAAAAAAAAAACATAACAAATATTATTATTATTATTTTCGCTGGTTGAGATTTGTATCTAAAAATTGTGTCAGCATCTATATTTGTAACTTATTTTTATGTCTACATTTATTCTGCTGCTAGCGTTTCCAGTGCACAGTGCAATTATAGATGGATATCCTTGATCCATGATGGTCTTTGGTGGTATATAGGAAGGAGGATCAGCTGTCCGTTCGTGATCAAGTACTACTACAATCGATGCTGTTCTGTTCTGTTCTCTCTCTTCTCTCTCTCTCTCTCTTTTTGGCTCTCTGGATCTATCTATCACTTCGACTTTAATTGAATGATTGATGGTAGTATGTAAAGGGTTGATGATATATCTCTCGTATCTATTCCCTCCCATGTGTGATGGCATACAATTATCAGGCATACCCTTGTCAAGAAAAAGACTATGCAACAGAAAGATCAAGTTTCAATACTATTTCCGCCATTGATTAGTCTCGTTCGTGTGAGTTGGACGTGGACTTACACTACTACTGCCTTCTCCCACTGTAGCTTTTTTTTTTTTTTTTTTGGGTGAGTTTTCTGACTCCCTGCCTGAACTTGACCATCTTTTCTCCCACTGTAGCACATTTTCCTGTTTTCCTCCTCAGATTCTCCTCAAATCACAATCCGTCAAATTCTGCGTCGATCTGCATAGCGTTTTCTACCGCTTTCTGGTTAACCCAACCACCCTCCCCCCCCCTCCTTTTTTTCTTTCTCTCTTCTCCAAAAACCAAAAAAAAAAAAAGAAAAAGAAAAAGAGACACAGTAATGCATGGCCTACTTCTTCCATGAAAGTTTGGGGTATTGATTAGCTTCCCCCCCCCGGTCTCTTAAAGACAAAAACCTCAATTTTGGATTCTTTTCACTCTTTTTGTGGGCATGCGCTGGCTTCTTACCTGTTAAAACGGAAATCAGGCCTCCAACCTGATTTTTGGCGTTAGTGTGAAGCACGAATTTATTTAAACCCAGATATTATGGATGGTATTGTTTTGGGCATCACAATGGTGCAGAAATTCGACCACGAGATTGGGAGAATATATATATATATATATATATATATATCAAATAGTATTGATTCCATGTCGCTTAGGTGTTGCAACTATGTTTTCTTGGAGAGAGCAACTGTCGAAAAGAGTAACTAACTAACATATTGAAACAGAAGAGCAAGCAACAGTTAAGACTGCTTAGGCAGAAGTCCAGTCCTCAAGTAACCACGACCTGCCACCGGTTTGAGGCAAAGAAATATAAATATGAATATGATCACAAGTTCCGGCCACGCGATTTATGCTTTCTGCCTTCCTTACAGCACACATATATAGACAATGCACACGAATTTGGAAGGAGTGTACAGCTACAGACTTACATATTATATTGCATTGATAAATGGTTTCGGGATATGTGGAGTTGATGAAAAGGCAGCAGGTTGGGGTGGAAGATGCCCACTCACCACTTTGCCACCATCAAAATATAAAAGCATATCCCTGTTGTGGCCAATGAGCATCAACCTGATCTTTCTTAATCATCATTGAATTACTAAAGAAGCGAGAAAAAATGTTAATGGCGAAGTTCGGGCAAGTTAGATTCCACGAGTGCAAGTGTATTATCATATCCACTATGCCTCTGATCTTTTATTATATTGATCATTAGCGGATGCAAAACGACGAATGCAAGAATACATTTGAGGAAGCAGGGATCTTGGAGTGCCCAACTTTTTGCTTCAAACTTGCCCCCTAGATTCCTTTGCATAACGACCCTTCTGGGGTCGATTTTCCAAAAGGCAAGCGTATTTTTTTAGTTCCTCGCCACTTACTACGAGACCAAACCATTCGTCGCAGGAAGGAAAAGAAAATGCTAGCCTATAAACAAGTATCATGTCGTCTTGCAATTAGCTCCTCATGCCCTATCATGAATCATGATTTGTACATAAAACTTCTTCAACTTACAGTTTCAGTTTCAGGCTGCTAAACTAAACAAAATGAAGAATTACCTCCCATCTTCATTTCATATCTGTTGCCTCTTACTCCTTATATCAGACGTGGGAATCCATCAGCAAAATCAGTGAATCCACGGGTTTCCTCCCAAGCCAAGGGCAGGCCAAAATGTTAGGTATGAGGTCATAAGAAAGATGGATGGATGGATGGATGGAGGGATGTTGTATGATGTTCACTGAACAGAAGCTAGGCGTACGTGCACCATCTCTGTTCTCATCATCATCCATATTCTATCACCAAAATACTAGTGGTGCGTGGTGATCTTGCGTAGGTGTGTGCTAACACCAATATAAACCATCTTATCACTCTCAGACACCCTTTCACTCTCACGGCTATGCTATGCTACTAGCCTTAATTTATATCAAACCTGTATACCTAGCTAGAAACCCTCTCCCTCTCCCTCCCTCTCTCTCTCTCTCTCTCTCTCTCTCTCTCTCTCTCTTTTCCCTAGTCAGAATAAGTGACAGAATAACAAGTTTTATCATTTTTTATCTAAGATCCTTGTTTTGCTTGGGGACCTGAATTCTATGATCATGATAAAGTTTCTGGATCACACGGCAGACAGTTCTAATAAACTAGCTAGTACTGGTATACAAGAGAAGGCACACAGGCATTTACCCAAAATAAAGACTGACGCAAATGCTAGCTGCCTGAGAATTAAGATGATGGAAGGACAAGGAAGGCAGCAAAAAACGGAGCGGGAGAGAGGAGACTAGGAGCGAAAGTGCTGCTAAGTACTACTAAATATTAGTTAAAGTAATGGACTCTAGGGGGAAGCCATTGACATGAACAAAGAACGATATTGAAAAACCACAAGACACGAGAGACCTCACCCTTGTAGTTGTAGGGAAGGGGGGGCAAGGTGGGAAGCAAAGTAAGCTCTATTTGAGAAATTTCATGGTTTTGTTGAGGGGACAAAAGGCAGGATTTAGGGCAATAAACAGTGCATTCTAAAAGACAGCCAACAGATATATATGGGTACTCTTTTCTGGTGCAGAAAACAAGAACACCAACCCCCAAAAAAAAAATTAAATAAAAAATAAACCCGTGCATCTTCGTATATTCTTAGTATAACTAGTTTTCTCCTCTCTTGTTTAGAATATAACAAAATTAAAACATAGGATCAATGGAGTTTCAGGGAAACCCCATCGACTGGCATCTTCTTTTCAAGGACTGTCGACTTGGTGCCCGGACACTAGGCTAAGGCAGCATATACCTGCTTTCTCTGTGACCATCATTCACTCGTCACCTGCCTATATCCGTTTTACTATAACAAATTTAGTAAAAACAAGAAGATGGCTTCAAAAAGAATAGTTGTACGTAAATAAATTAGTACGTTTGCACCCATCAGAAAGTGAAGCATTATTAGCACAAAGAAAAATAAAAGAAAAGAAATCAAACAAACCCACCAATCGTGCAAAATGACAAATAGAATTTCCACAAGTAAACGGTGGTTAGTACACTTTCAACGGAATAACATAAACCGAATTCAATTAATTATGCCCATATCGAACTAGTGGCCTCTTGTAAAAGTGATGTGTCTAGATCGAGCATTTGGTACACGAATCTTAATCATTAAAAACAAAAAGGATTAATTAAAGTCAAAAAATATATATTTGTAATACTATACCAAAGTAATTAAAAGTAGTACTAAGTATAAAAACAAGCAAAACATTCATCAGTTTCAGCATCCCAAGAAAAACCTTAGTGCAGTTAATGAAAGCCAGGAGGCACTTGGGAGCCAGGATTTCTCTGATCAGCCGGAGAGTTACTGCCGTCCCAATTCTTGCATGTAAAGTGAAGATTCAATCAGTTCATGCAGCTAGTCCTTCTTCCGTAAATAACTAGCTAGGGTTAGGGTTTCTGAACATTATCTATGGTCCACAGATTGCTGCTTTAATCAACTAGCGCCAAGAAGAGACCGAATAAAGGAGTTGGTTTTGCCAACCTAAGAAGAAAGAATCGTTGAGTATGTGAAGTTGGTAGCCCTCAGAAGGGTAATGAAGCCTCAACAACAGCTTAGCTTGGGAAAGTGCAAAGGGGCTTAAGGGGACATTGTTGAATCCACAGCTTCTAAACATTAATTCCCAAGACCTGAACCTTTCATGCCTTTCTCTCCTGTGATCTCCGTCTGCAGCCACAATATCAACAATCTCTCTTCCGAACCATACCTGTTCAACGTTCAGCCTTTCCCTGCTGTTTGGCGGTAAAGTGGCCTCAAGGGAATCAAACACAGCTGCATAGTGGTCTAAAGCCTCCACAAACCTTTGCAAGAAAAGCGGGTGGTTATGGTTTGCCTCCCTCTCGGCCATGGTCACCACTCTGGGGTTCATCACCTTTATTCTATGAAGGAAAAGCCGAAGCCCATCACGGTCTTTGAGTAGCCGGTGGAGATAGTGCACACAGTTCACCGCTAGACTTTCACCTGGCAGGAGAACAACTGCAGAGGATAACACAGCAATAGGGTCGTCCTCATTGTGGAGATGAAGGGGGTGGAACTGAAACCTTAGGCCTAACGAATGAGCGAATTTTGCAAGGCGGTCACCTGTTCTACGCAGGGTTTCTAGATCATTTCCAGTGCCTGTGATGCGGAGACTTGGCCGAGGATACCGTTCCACTATGGCCTGCATAAAAGGAGGCCATTGCAAGCCATGCATTATGTTGAAATCGAGGATGTGAATGGCTTCTTGGCCTTGATCAATGGCATCCAAGATTGCCTGATTAGCAGTGAGCTGACTAAACCTGATGAATGGGGTTACTTGATTAAGAGATAAGTATGCAGTTTGAAGAAGAGCTTGTTCATCTGACTCAACTACTTGAGGCATGTGATTGATCGAGGCCGCTGAAAACGAGGCGGCATTAGCAGAGTTGACGGGAGAGGAGTTAAATGAGGTGGTGGGATGATGGTGGTGACGATGAGTTAGAAAAAATGTGTTATTGAGAGGATGACCTAGATGTTGTTGTGTGTTGGGAAGAGTATTTAGGAGAGTGGTGGTAGCATAGCGGTTAAGGCGGAGAGAAAGGGCTCTGGTAAACTGATGGATCAATCTTTCCGTGGAATCACCATAAGGGTTTGAGTTAGCCATCAAAATGGTGATAAGGCGGTGAGCTGATGAGGAATCAGAACTGCTGGACATCAGCTCAGCACAGCTGATGAGCAATTGGCGCATATGGGCTAATGTTGGAGAAGTGAAGCTCCGGTACTGTTGAATCTGATGGTATTGGACATGATGGTGCTCTGGTGGAGAAGGCTCATCTTCTTCAACCTCACGGGAAGATGAACCAAATGAGCCTAACATATCTGACCAAGAAAAACAAGTAGATCAACGCAATATCTAGGACTACGATTTTACAAAGAAACCCTGGACAGAGAAAAGAAGGTAGCAACTTATATAGCACCACAAGGGTGTATATTTCTGGTGGGGATAGAGTCGGAGGAGGAGAGAGAAGAGGGTAAAGGGTTGATTCTTGATTTGGCATCTCAAACTTTAATGCTAAACAGTAGGAGGAGGAGGAGGAGGAGGAGGAGAGGGGAGGGGAGGAGAGGGGTTTACTTGTTTTTTTGGTTGTGTTGTTTTTGTTTGGGGGGGGGGGGGTGGGGGGTTTGGACTTTGGGACTAGTTTTTTTTTTTTTTTTTAATAATTCTTGTCTTAAGTTAGTGTAAACAAACATATGAAATGAGATATGATGATGAGAGAGATGCTGCTGCTTTTTTTTTTTTTTTTTTTTTTTTTTCAAAGAAAAAAAAGGTAAACCATTAACAGTATCTATCTGTGCATCGCACAAAAGATTATCTGCAAGAAGAAACAGGAAATCCCCAAGACTCCCCCCGTCAACAAACATGCAGGGTTGCTTCCCAAAGCTAAAACGTCATCAAATTATTAGACATATATGTTCCATTTACAAAACAGAAAAAAGGCAAGCCAATTAAAATGTTAAGTACAAACTGATGAAGAAGCTCTTTTCCATCTGATTTTTTTCCCCTAACCCTAGTTTTAGGCCTAAAATTATGAGGGGATCGAAAAACAATTTATCTGATAGTTTATATTGAGATGTTCGCAAATGTGATTATTTAAACGCATAGGTGATTGCCTCAATTAAGAATAAATATCTCAAGGTTGAATTACTGTACTCTCAGACGTTGTCTCAACACTTTTTTTTCTGCTCAATATTATCTTATCTGTTCCTTTTTTCAGTTTTCCTCAGATCTCAAAAAAAAAAAATTGCAAAATAATAGGGAAAAAAGGAAACGAAAATTACAATTTTTTTTTTTTTTTTGCTTGTTAACAGCATGCATCACTCGGTCCATTACAAGTGACTGTCGTCTCTGTTAATCTATGTACGTTTCTTAAATTAATATATGCTTTTGGTTTTACACTAGTAATGTAAAAATTTGTTTTCTTAAATAAAAAATAGATTCAAGTCAAATAGGGGACACGCTTTGATCTAAAATGGAAGCATTATTGCCATATCCGTCCAAATTAATTACTTGCCACTCTCTTGTTTTGTTTTGTTTTGTCATATCCCACTACTTTCCAAATCCTATAGTATTTGTTAATAAGCATAAAGTTATTCTTGCAATTTCTTCCACTTTCCTAAGGGCGTCAACTCCGACCACAAACCTTTTGGGGGGTTTTTTTTTTTTAATTTCATTTTCAGAACAGTTTCTTGAAATTTTTCGAGGTGAATCTCCATTTCACATTATTAATTTCTCAAATGCTTATAATGTATTTAAGTTGGTAAGACATGAGATGTCGATCCAGCATTTTCATAGCTAGTTGAGCGTTGTAAGAACGAAGAGCATCGATCTTTTCAAATAAAAAAATTTGTTCTTGAAAACCAACTCACTTGCATTAGCTAAATGAGCATAAAATATTTTCAACCATTCCTTTTCTCTTGCTCTTGGTGAGACGCGGAGGAGCCTTCTTTGAACAAGAAAAATAAATAGATAAGCATCCGATCATTAATTTGGACTGCGTACCTCTAAATCTACTTAACACAATTGAATGTTAGCAGAGAGAACGACCAGCAAGATAATAAGATCGATCAGAAGATCACCTTCCGAAAGAGGAGGTCAAATTAAACTAGTTAGTGTGTGTGGTACAGTTGAGCTCAAGCGGTGGTCCAAGGGCTGAAGGGCTTTGGCGAAGCAGAAATCTGAAGATGGAGGAATTAGTATTTGGGAAAGCCAAAAAGATGGCAGGCATAGCTAGTGTCAAGTAACTGGGAATGCATTGCTAGCTGCTGGTCATTACACTTTCTATGAAGTGAAGTCATCGATTCATCATCCTCCCTCCCTCGGGATAACACATGTACTGTGAAAGGAAACATAATAATTAATCAGTGCCGCGCGTACTCTCTTTCCTCCTCTCTCTCTCGGATGATAGCAGCTACGGGTAGGGATGTAATCGAGTCGAGTCAAGCTCGAATAGTGCTATACTGGAGCTCGACTCGACTCATATATTTTTAGGCTTGAGCTCGGCTCGAACTCGATCGAGTCAAAAAAATTGATACTCGAAACTTGACTCGATGTACTCGCTCTAAGCTCGAAACTCGACTCGATAAGGCTCGACCCTTAGTCAAGCCTTATCAAGCCAAGTCTAATCAAGTTTTTTGACTCGACTCGACCAAAAAAATGAGGCATTTTTTAGACTTTTTTCTTTTTAGGTATTTTATAATTATGTTATTACTTTTTATCCTTATAAAATTTTATTATAAAGAAGAGTATATTGTAAATTCCGTATAACCTATATCCATAATAGTCATTTTATAATTATAATATATATATTATTTAAATTATAAATATATCATTTAAATAGTCCGGCTCGACGAGCTACTCGACAAGCCGCGAGCCAAAAATTTGAGACTAGAAACTCGACTCGAACGCCAATCGAACTACTCGAACGCGAGCCAAGCCGTCGAGCCGAATTACTCGTGAGTAACTCGGCTCGCGTACATCCCTGGTTGCGAGTTCTTTATAGAAAAAAAGAAAAGAAAAAGAAAGATAACCGTCGAAACCGAATAATAAAAGGTTTCTTTGAATTCAGAGAACCTCAGGGCTTTCCGGGGTCAAACATACAAGTTCAGCTGTGTGTCAAGCAAAACCATTATTGCTAGCTAAAAGCATTTCATTTTTTTCATTCAATATTTGCCTGGTGAGTAATTATGATTTATTGATGGCCTCTTTTTTTCATTTTAATTTTTAAAATGTTATATAATTGTATTCTCATTTGTCTCCACTCATCTAAATTCCAGTAAAACCTTAAACACCAGCCACTTGACTTGGCCCTGTTGGACAGTTTTCCACACCCAACAACAACTATCTATACTCTACAGCAAGCAATCCACACGCAAAGCCTTAAATGTGTCGAAAGTTACATGCCACGATCCCACCCACCACCCCCCGACCTTCTTCTCTTTATTTAGTATTTATATGTTCTTTCGTAACCACACACACACACACACGTACTCTCTAGTTTTCCGTATTTGTCTCATAGTTGGATTCTGCCTGGATATCTATAGCGTTTGCTTTTCATTTCAATCCCCAGATAGATAGATAGGTTTGCAGATAGGACTATATATTGGAAAAATGACTGCCTTACTCACGTGGGTTAGGAACCTGCAATACCTCACACCTGATCACTCCCAAAGCATTTTGCACCCGCAGCAGGAAAGAAACAAAGTACTCTACTTTGTGACAATACAAGTCTTTCTTCACTGATCATCTTCAGCTGCCTATGACCGCAATTTTTACTCATATATATACGTGCACAATTTTGCCCAGTATCAGCTACAAAACTACTACTACTACTATTATATATATATATAGGTATGTATGTACGTACTTTGCGTGCTTTCTTATTTGTCTATGGGAGTTGTTTGATTAATGTCACAAGCAAGCAAGCCTTTTTGCTGCTCAACTCTTTTGCTGTGTACAAAATTTAGCCGCCCGTCCTTGACTTCTGCTCATGCTTTCTTGAACCTTGATCAGACACTGAACGTCATTGATAGTCTCAAAATCCAACCTCATTGATGTAGCCATTTGCAAGCATTTAAGTTCATCTTACTTGGGATCAGACGCAAAAAAAAAAAAAAGACAAAAAATGAAGGTGCCCAGCTTCATTTTTCGAAACAGTTTTCACCATTTGATTTATTATATAGTCTAATAAATAAGAATTATACGATTAAAATGATAGCAGTGAGAGTGAAAAATGGGGAAAACCCTTCAGGTTCCAAGGACAAATCATTTTTGCCTGATGCCTGGTTCATATATATAGGAGTAACATGACAAAGAGTATCTTGCAGTTTCGCTTCTTTTTCAACAAAATTTGCAGTATTATGTTATCAAGGAAAGATACGAATAATCCGGGGACCACATTTACTTGTTTAAAACCAACTTTTATGTTGTCAAATCATGGGATCCCTTTGATTTAAGTTGGTAATTTGAGTATGAAAGGTGGATATGATGGAAATGCCAAGCAATATTTACGTATTTGTCCCAATTTAAGGATTTTAACTATTCTTTTTCTTTAATTAAAAAAAATTCATGAAAAATAATATTGAAAGACAACCAAAATGCAATATGGGATCAAGAAGAGTAGAATATATTATAATCCAAAGTTGAATTATAGATAATATACTTCCTAATTCAGTCCCTAGCCAAACGAAAGGAGGCCTCAAGCTGTACAGTCGGGGAACGAGCGGGAGCTGGGGCTGATGAAATTCTCTGGTGTTCTCTACAGACGCAGCAGCTGGCAACAACAATAACAATAATACGGTTCTATAATCCTGAGTGTCACCGTTAATTAATTAATTGGCGCAGAGAATATACGCGGCTGGACTTTAATGCTTTATACGCTGGACGCCCAAAGTAGGATGAGTGCGTTTTTAGGGCCGCAGCAGATAACCCACGACTATAATACGCACCCCTACTAATTAAAAAATATATAAAATGCGTACTCCTCGATAATAACAACGCCTCGTCGAGCTCTCAAACTTAATAAATCAAAACTCGACTTGTTTGACTAATCAAGCAACTCGAAATTGATTCGAACTCGTTCAATAACAACAAGTCGACGAGCTGATTGTCTGACCAAACTGAGCCGTTCAGCTCATATGCAATTGCAACCCTATGACAAACGGAGGAGTAAAAGAATTACTCCAAAATACAGGATTAATTAAACAACATCTAAACATAACATGACCTAGAAAATATATGAATGTAATTCATGCGTCTTAAAATAGAATATTTAAGCTCCTCCGAGTTAACCATTATTATAGTGCTATATATAAACCGGA